GTCCCTGCCCAGGGCAGGGGGTTGGGACTAGATGATCTAAAAGGTCCATTCCAACCCCTGAATTCTATGATTCTATGATTCTAACTGCAAACCAATCCTGTTTATCCACAGGCTCAGTGCTGAAGGCACTCCAGCTTTCCAGTCTTCACTGGGCAGCTCTGTGACTCCAAATAGTGGCACAAAATGGTGCAGAAGAGGCAGCAAGTGGCATGACAGAAAAGAATGGGCTGCACCTTTTGGTGGCACTGCAGATTTATGCTGTGTTAAGCAGATCACAAAGCTACAAGTAACTGCTTGCAGCCAGCCCTGGATGCAAAGTCTTGTGCTAGTTCCCACATCCCTACAGTTCCCTTCAGGCCTAGAGCTGTATCTGCACTGGCAGGTAGTGCAGAGCAATGGGAATGGATCTGCAGAGTGAAACTGCAAGAGCTGAGGAACAAATATTTGCACTATGTGCATATTAGACTTGGGGGTTACTTGAGACCAAGGTATGTGTTAAATGGTTGAAACACATCAAGTTTAGCCCTGTCTGACAGAAATCCAGTCCTGCACTGAGACCAGCCCACAACATGAATTAAAGCACAGTGCATGGCAGCAATTAGAAGAGACATCTCAAAGGCACATTCCTGACCCAAATTAAAGCCACTAGCATTACCCAAGGAGAAAACAATCAGACTTAATAGGGGTAAAGTGGAGTAAAACCAACTTTAAGTACCTTGAAGAAAAGGCTGTCAGAGACGCTGCTCTTTAGGACTCCCAACTCTTTCAGTTTCTGTCCAATAAGGCTCAGCATGAGGCTGTAGATATTTTCCAGATTCATGCCTGGGGAGCAGAGGCTCAAGCAGGACTTCTGGATATCCAAGACAGCCTGGTATAGTTCTGCTTGGGGTTTAGTGAACCTGAAGGTCATTGAGAAAAGGAACAAAGGATATATTTCACAATTAAACCTCTAATCAGAACATATTTTGGGAACAGATACAGCTCAGTGTTGGAGCAGGAAAAGTCAGAAAGCAAAGCAACTGTGCCTTACATGAATGGCCAGACAAGGAATCCCTGCACATAACACTGTGTAGAGGCAGGGTTACTCAGCTGAGAATCCAACCCCCAAGTGAAGCAAGGCAAAGCTACTACAGGAAAAAGAACACACAGGAAACATACAGGAATCAAGCACACAAACACAGGGATATCACACCAGCAAATTCACAACTGGCAGAGCCATGTACACGTCAAGTAAAACTCCAGTTTTCTCACACACAACTGGAGTCAGCACAGCTGAATCCACAAAAGCCCTCTCTGCACTTTCAACATGCTGAAATAGCTGAAAACAGTAATATAATCACACATATTCGTGCAGTAATTAATGAGGCAGTGGGGAATACAGCTTCTCACACTGAAAGATTAGTTTATATACTTTGATTACTCTGAAGAACCATGGAATGGGCCACATTAAAAGTACTCACAGAGAGATTAAACACACATACACTCAATACATCAATTACTTAAGAGCTCCTCAAAGTTCTTCAAAAAACCTTATTGCAGCATACCTTCCGTTGACAGGCCAGGTACGTGTGATGTCACTTACATAGCAGGAAAATTCACATCCACCATCTAGCAAGACCAGTTCACCATCCTGGAAAATAACAGGAAAAAGTTATCTGTGGGTCAGTCCCGTTATTAATTCAATTGATTTCTCTGAGAGCAGGAAAGGAGATTATGTTTTTATTTTTGCAAAGCTATTCCAGTTGGATTGTTTCTCTGCAAGCTAGTCTCTGACTGTCACGCTTATTTACTGTCTGAACTCTTCACCTACTGATGATTTTCAAACACTTTGGACTAAAAAAAAAAACATTTGCCTTGAACTATTCTGCTCTGAGACACAAGTTCTATCATACCAGAACTGACTTCAACAAATTACACCAGTGACTCCTTTCACTAGAAGTTTTCTGCTAGTGACTGAGACAGAAAGGTTTTGCACCAAAACCATCAATTTCTGAGCTACTCACAAGATCACTAACAGCCACAGGCTTAGCCTTATCATAGGCTAGGAGGACCCAGGCAAATCACTTCTCTGACAGTGTATCACTGCTGTAAATGCACTATTAAATAGCTTGTACCATCTTCCCTGTTCTCTTCTAGGACTTTCTGAACTTCTCCAAGATATCCTTCTGAATCTATCTGGTGATGAAGAAAAAAACTTATGGAGATGTGAACCTGCAAGTCACTTCTGCAAAAGTGTTCCACATCAGTTAAACCACTGACTACACATCTGCCAAAGAGTCACACAGCAAAAAGACCAAGGGCCAGGGACAAAACCACTGCTTTGCTTTCCCTCCTCAGAGGGCCTAGCAACAAATAGCACAGTGAGATCTGTAAAAAGGTCGGATTAAATTGTCTGTAGATTTACAACACATGTGATCTAAGGACTTTTATACATTCACTCCACAGACCCATGACTGTGCCAGCAGCCATGATGTAGAATGACAAGGAATAATTCTAGCATGCTAAGGGAAAGAATAAGGAGCAGAACTACACTGCTAGTGCTGCTTCCAGTGCTATCTAGTATCATTGTATACAGTTAAGTGTCACAAATAGATACACAGCAGATAAACTGGCAGTGAGCAAATCTCACTGTCCCACTAAACAGGCCATTAACTATCCACTTAAACTGTACTTCCCAACTTTTTCAGAACAGCTGGTTCAGTACTTTAAGCTAAATCTGAAACTGTATTACCTGCTCTCTTCCAAGCAATTAAGCAAGCTAAGTAACAATTCATTGGCCAAGGGAATTCAGCCTGTGGCTTGATTGTCCAGTAAATGCCTTATGTTGTACTTTTTGTCCTTTTTCTTTAAAGCTGAGCCCACTAAGTGGTGGACTGAATGAAGCCTTCAGATACCTTCCAAATTAGACACTTTGTTAGTCTATTTGGCAACAAGATCTTTAGGCAGTAGCACACAAAGGAAAAGAAAGAATCAAGTTTATGGGCTTAACCTCCTACTTAATAGTTTGCAAAAAACCACAAGTGACAGTCATTTAACTGAACAACTTTAACAGAAGCAACTGGAGGTACATCAGCACGCCTGACCTTGGATGACAAAACAACAAAGGAGGCTTCTTTCTGCCAAAAGCAGCCTGTCATATCTTTTGTACATTTGTCTCTGCAGATTATTTCAAGGTCTGCTAGCATGCCAGCTTCAAGAAAAGACAATGCTAGTGGGAAAGTTTCATCCTGCATTCAGACAGAGGAAAAATATGCTCCTCTGAAAAATGAATAGTGAGCAGAGCAGTGGGGGAATACTGCTCCTGAAAATACTTATCTAAAATACAAAGGCCTATTGTCAGGAAAGCTGGAGAGGCTTCAATTCAATAATGAGAATCTTCAAGTAAGACAAAACATGCTAATTTACCTAAATCCATATAATCTACCTCTTGACATTTAACACTGATTCTTTCCCTGCTTTGCTGGCCTACATGGAGACCAAAATGCTTTTCAGCTTCACCAGGGCAGTAATGCACTATTGCCCCCTCATGCTGCAAAGCAAGGCCAAGCAATGCAAGGGACAGCAGACCACCCAAGGTGCCTTCACTCCACCTTCTGCAGTGGTTCCCCTCTTTTGTGAGGCCAGTAACACCCCCAGCACTGCACACTGCTGCACAGTGTGAGAGCTGATGTGCTTGCTAAATTACTTCCAACCTTGTTTGCAAGTCCTTCCCCTGTTCAGAAAATACTGCATCAAGTGCTGAGAGGAGAGAAAGAGAAGTTAATCTGCCAGTGACAGTAAAACTAACCAGTGCAGAAGTCCTTCCCCCGCTAACTTAAAAAATATATACTTAAGTGCTCTGATCTGCTCAATCAAAACAAAGAGGGGCTAAGGGACACACGTGTGTCAAAGAACTGCATTTCAAGTTACTAGACAGCATGGGGGTTACCTTGATGAGCTGATTGTTCTTCACATAGTGCAAAGTGTTTGATCTGTTGCCACCAGCAACAACAGGGGGGTATGCCAGGATGTCAGCACCACGAGCCCGGCACTCGAACTCAAACTGGAATAACAGTTCAGAGAGGAAGAGACCATTACTGCTGATCCACGTGATTAACTGCACCAGGGCTACGATACTTCATGTCCTACAACTGTTTTCTTAACTTGTACAACACAAAGTGAAGCTGGAAAGTGAATTTTCTAAATGAGAGCAGTTTTGAATTTTTCCAGGAACTCTGGAGAAAAAACAGTACAATCCACGTGTTTTAAGTCTGCATCTGGTCTCATGGAAGTCCTTTCTGGTGTAAGCTGTTCAATACCATATCAGACATTCATTATGGTGTCACACATTCAGGTGAGGATTTCTTCTTATATAAAGTAATGCTCTTAGCTGCCATAAGACATTGCAAATTTTCAAAGAACCTAAATGTCAGCATGACAACAGTTATGTTTTGTCGCTGTCTTGTAAAATTACAAAGTACCAGTATATTTACAGCAGTATCTGTTTTCATGACTGTTGAGTTATGAAGGTTTGAAAGCCAGCACTACCTTGATCATAGAAACACAGAATCAACCAGGT